GCCCCTCCCGCCCCCACACACCTCTCCTTCCCCTTATTCTCTGCCAGGGAAACTTTAAACTGCGCCATGCGCCACCCACAGCGTTTTCACCCCTCATCTCCACTCTAGTTTAGGCTCAGGCGGCGAATACCGCACAACACCTGATGCCGCGGGCGATCAATAAAAGTAAATAGGGATCGGCAAGGGGCGCACCCTTTCATTACCCTACCTTGACGAATTCAAACGCCTTCGTCGCCCATCGCTTTTTCGTTCCCCCCCCCATCGAAGGCTGCCCGAGTACCGTATTCTACCGTAACTTACGAGTACTGACTATAGTTTGTCAGTTTTTAAGAATCGCCAACTGCAAACACCCCACGCCACCGAGCCATGGCACCACCCCAAACGGGAAAGAACATACAAAGTGAGTACGGTAGAGTAAGACGCTGAGCCCACCACCACCATTCAGCCGGACTACCGCACTTACAAGTTACCATATTTGTACTTGCGCTTGTATTACATGCTAACCCCGCTCCCGATCATACCGTATCCCCCAACTTTTAACACCCCCCCCCAGCACTATTGTTACATCGGTACTACGATCAGCCATTCCCTCTCCCCCACTAAATTGAAACCGAAACTGAACATCATCTGCATGTATGACACAGAATGAATGGAAAAAAAAGAAAAAAATAGTGCCCCCCGGCCAAGTTATCGATAAGGAATGTAATCTTCCCGTTCCCTCCTCGGCGGGAGGGGGAAGGAGGGGTATGTGTCCAAGATGCAGGTACGATGACACAAAGGATGAGTTGAAGCTGGTGGGGTGATCGGGGGGAAGAGAATTGACGGGATGAGACAAAAAGAAAACCCCCCCCCTCCTTGGGAGTGGGAGTGGGGCGGGTAGCCTGAAAAAAAAAGTTGTGCGGTACGAAGTATTGTACTGTACCCCACCTCAGGCAGCAAGATCAAATTCTGCTCGCTCGGACTTGCGGTTCCCCGGATATGCTAGTAAGTTTAAAGTTAGATCTTGGTACGGTACTGTACTACTTGTATGGAAGCTACCGACGCTTATATTATACGATGCCTGCACAATACGATGCTAGAATGATCACGAATCAAGTCAGTTAACCTTGCGCGTCTGAGTCAAGTCGCTTAATAGGCCAGTCAAGACGGACATATGCTAGCTAGTCCGCCGTAGGATAACTTAGAGCCCCACCCTACTTACCTACCCACCTACCGCCTCCACCATATCCCCAGTCCTGCTGAACTTTTAGCATCATGTTATTATTATTATACCGGTACCGTATGTTAGTGGTTCTATTACAGTACCGTGCCGGACCCGTATAAGGCCGTAAGTGTAAAATGCTCCGTCATGCACCGCGCCGATTTCCACGGTACGTATGATATGATAACAAGATAATATTATACATATATATATATATATACTCTCTCCCCAGCCTTCCCCCCTCCGAATCTTGAACTACAAACCCTGACAGAGGGTTATAATATTATGACATACCGGTAACCATCATACGGGGCAAGAAAGAAAGAAAACTATCATACCCTCGACAACACCCCCACGAAAAGAGACAAAATGGAAACACCGGTAGATACAGGCACGGGCCTGGACGAGAACGAAAACCGTCTCACGTGCCCGAGCCCAGCGCCGGGCTGGTACGAACTTCTAATCTTCAAGCGTCCCCCGCAACCCCACTCCCAACCGCACCCACCACCACACCCCTACCGCTCCATCAACGGCAACGCCGCTACCCCACGCTGGACGCACCTCCAAGTGACCACCCTCCCCATAAGCAACCACGCCTACCGTCGTGACTTCAAGAACCTGGAGATTCCGAGGGGCCTTCTGGGGCTAAAGTCGTTGCCGGCCGAAGCGCTGGCGCAGCTGGAAAGGGTGCTGCGCGAGAAGAATTACCTGCTCAGAAGGGCGGGATGGGCGTGGGTTGTGGACTGGGTGGACGTAGAGAAGGAGGTTGGGAGTGGTGGAGTAGGGGGGTATGGTCTTGGTGGTGGGGAGTTTTGTCTGGGGGTGAGGAGGGTCAGGGTTCATGATATGGGGGATGAGTGGGAGGAGGATGTGGGTAGGTGGGCGGATGTTAGGGGCATTGAGGAGAGGGGGAGCGCTATGCTCTGTACTTGATTGTTTGATTGTTACGGGGGGAGCGGGAGGGGGTGGCATTCCGATTCAAATTGAGTTGTCGACAAACCATGGGCTACCCCTTTAACTCGCCTTCGATAGACACCTTCGAGTGATAGATTATGACCTCGATCGCGTTATGAAATAACACTGCTATACTGTACAAGGGAGGTGATGTGATTATCACCATCCAATTCCCATATACCAGTCTGATATTGCGCATCACGAGAACGGAACGGGGAAGGAAAGGAAAGCACAGCAAAACACAGCAGAGCTGGGAAGAAATCCCAGAGAATGTTACGGACCAAACAAGAGCGGGGGAAAATAAGCACAAAAAGCCTGCAAAATATTTAAAATGAAGAAACAATAAAGAAATCCCTTCTCTGATGTCCCCACCTCCCCTCCCGCTTTTATTTTTTTTTTGAAAATCTCTAGACCGACTTCCGCGGGTGAGGTGGATTCTCGGTTCATCAATGGCATAATCTCTCCCCTTCCCTTTTGTCTACGGCAATTGGGTCAGCAAACCCTATTCCTATACCTACCAGGACACACCGATGGAACAAGGCTAGTAATGCCCGAGGATATGTAGAGAACGAGCGAAAATAGAAAAAGGAAAGAAAAAGAGCTCCAACGAAGAGGTATCTTTAGGGGAAACCTATAAACCCCCTCATGGATGAAGTAACTAACAGCCAGAAATCAAGACAGGAAAAAAGAAAGAAAAAGAAAGAAAATCAAACCAAATCAGGACTAGCACTTTGCACAAGTATACAGAAAGAGAGATAGGAAAGGAGAGGATATACGATGGAAAGTGCAAACGAGTACTAGAAAATGTAGTTGAGACAGATGAAAAACGAAGACAGAACCGACACCGCACCGCCAATAATGCGCCTCCACTTGATATATATAAAACTCAGAAAAATCCCTCCCTCTCGTCCACTAACTCATGCGCACGCCACTACCATCCCATACCAGTACTTCAACCTCTTCTAACACGGTCGATGAATTAACACCGCTATCTCACACCTTAAGGCATCATTAAGGGGGTATTCTACCCGGTCGACGGATCGAAACTCCAAGGAAAACCCAGAGAAAAGGAAAGAAGGAAAAAAAAATCACCAACGCGCAAATAACAGGAAATGCCCAAAACACTATGCCACGCGAAAAAGCAAACCGCATACGAAGGGATGACACTGGAATGAATGAATGAAAAGGATGCAAATGTAACCGATACAAAGTTAAAGGAAGTATGTAAAATAAAGTAAAGGAGACCCAATTCCAGTCCATTAGGGCGGTAGCAAAACCATGCAAAGCTTTCCGGAAGGACGCGTCACACTCGTCGTCTTCCTTCCCAACTACCCACTTCGCCCAACTTGTGACAGATAAAAATAACGTATGGCAAATGACCTCGCTCAGCTTCTAGGAAAAGATGTATGGTCGCCGTATAGAAATGTAGCTCCTAGGAAAAAGAAAAAGCTTTTGAAACGCCGCGTTGCACACAGGTCGTTAGAAGAAATGCGTATAAACTTTGGACTCCTCATGAACATCCATCTCCTATATAGCCAGTTAGCACATTCTCCACCCACAAAATAACCGTCACAATAATGGATACCATTTTGAATGTATTCAGTTCCTCTTTGATCTGCTGAGCCAGCATAGGAGTCAACCGATTGCATGTGGCAATCTCACCACGCCTATCGTATTCCCCGCTTGGCCAGGTATCGTGAAAGGTGATCCGTGGACTAAAACTGACATTATACCGCGACATTGAAGCGGGAGAGGTGGGGGCACTGTTGGAAGAACCGGCCGGGAATCGAGGCGATGACATGAAGTAATCCTCGCCTTCGATCTTGAGGGAATCTGACCTCTGCTTGCCAGATGACGGCCGCTGATTTTCAGTGTCCGAGGGGCCAGAAACTGCGCCATTGAGGTCGACCGGTTTGGCCACCGGAGAAGAAGAGCCGGACCCTATGCCACTAATTAGCAATTAAACTCCAGATTTGATGGATTGACCCACGCTTCAAGATTCCCTTCCGTACAGCAGCCAGAATCTGGGCCCGATCCCTATCAGTCCCAATTACACTCTTGCGGGCCATATCATCAGCAACACTGGCGCCCCGAACATTTGGATCCAGGGTCCGATGCTGCCCCATCTCGATCGAATTTCTATCCAGCTTAGGAAAACCTGTCCCACCACCCACCTGTCCGTGCGGGTCGGCATTCACATTAACATTTTCTCGCTCTGCTTCTACAGTGACCATTGACACCTGACCGGTGCTGGGTTGGGAGGTGACTGGCCCACTGGCAGCAGGGACGCCGACGACCGATCTGGGCCTAAACAGCCCGACAAGCGAGCGAGTAGATTTCTTCATTCCCTTGCCCATTTTTCTAATCATGATCGAAGCTGACGATGCTGTCGATGACACCGAGATATTGTCGGTCGATCCGGTGAAAAAATTCCCCTGACCGTTGTAGATGCCCTCGCCCAGCCCGGCTTCCTCCTGGCGTTTTGCAATTCTTGCCTGCTCGGCCTCTTGCTCTTCGCGGAACCTCTCCTGTCGTATTCTCGCCCTCTCAGCCGATTCTTCACCCCTCAAACTATTGACAGCCGAGACTTTACGAAGCTCGGCCGCGCTGCCGAATGAAAAGGCACGTCTGAGCCGACTCTTCATCCCCTTACGCGGCTCAGAGAAGACAGCATGGTGTTCAGTCACGGGATTTCCTGAAGATTGCGGAGCCGCATTGGTGTTGGCTACATCATCGGGTAGTTGCGGAGCAGGTGAATCTGAACTCAAACTCATCGGTTTGGAAAGAGGAGATGGTGCTGTGGTTCGCTTGCTTAAATCGGTGGAGGAACCACGTGGAGGAACGTGGGCAAGATTGATTTCGTGTGCGGAATTGGTCGAGCCCTGGCCAGGATTGGAGGTTGTCGAATGAATAGAGTTACGTTTGCTCTGTAATGCCCCGTTAGAATGAAGTTAGGAGACATAAAAAGGGGAAGGGGGTATTACAGAGCTTGGGCGTGAGGAATTCCCCGAAGCAGAACTATCTGTGCTACCGGTTCTCCTATTACCCGGTCGGAGAGTATTTTGGGTTACGGAATTAGGGCCTGAAGCCCCAGCCTGTGATTTGGTGGAGCCGCTAGCAGAGCCGCTGGCAGCAGATCCTGGACGAGAAAGCTGCAGGTTTGTTGTCTGTGGCAATGATGGCATCTCGTTCCCTATAATGCTTTGGAGACTTTCGGGACTGAATGCATCGGGGCCAACGGATCTCCGCCTATTTTGCATCTGTTGTAAATTCGAAATGGCAGAGGGGCTTCGATAAGTATGTATATCGTCTACAGACTGACTCCTCAATTGTCCAGTGTAATCCCCAATAAAAGGTGCTTTTCCCATTCCACCCGCATTTCCAACTATCGGTGGTAGTGAAGGATTGCTGGTCGCCCTACCAGGCTGCGCATATAGAGCAGCTACTGCAGCCATTCCAGACCCACTTGGTTGAGCAGACCCGCTACCGACTTGCCCCGTATAGGAACCCGCTCGCCCATTATTAGCACGACGATAGCGGTCGGGACTGGGCCGGCTAGTTGGAGACGAGATTGGTGGAGGCGACAGATTGGTTGACACTGTAGAAAGGGGTCTTGGGTTAGGGCGACTATCAGAATGTTCCTCCTTCGAACGGACAGTTGTGGATTGTGCCTGCTGGTACCGAAATGACGGGTCCGAAGAAGCCGACGAAGAGGACGATACAGAGTCCGACGTGGGGTACCGATTCCGTGAATCCGAGTGTCCGGCAGCAGCGGCAGATGATGCTCTCTCACAGATCTTAGGACCGGTCAAGGCTGATTTTGTATTCGACAGCCCGGGCGTGCTCGTGAAAGCATAGGGGGCAACAGGCGCAGACGAGTAACCAGGGCGATAGCCACCACCACTAATGTTACCAGTACTTGCGTTTGGGTAGCCACCCATGTTTCGTGGCGTCAAGTGGTGATGTTGGGCAGGGTGAGCAGACTGGTTTGGAGTTCCTGCTTGTAAAGTGGTCGTGGAAGATTGAGGACGTGATTGCATCAAGGAGACCGGTGGGGAAGACTGTTGAGTTGGAAATGACTGGACGAGAGCTGCCATGTTGGAGCGGGCCCCGTCCCTGGTACTGGGGACTGAATTCGACGTCGTTGTGGTGACGGCGATGTTTCCACAATCTGACTAGACGTTGGAGTATTAGACTTGATTTACCGTGACCGATGCCTTACTCGTAAGATACAGTGGTAAAGAAAGTAGTGAAGTAAGCTAAGGTATTCAGGAACGCCAAAAGTCAGTAATGGGTGTCTTAGGCGAGAAAGCCACCCCTTCTTTCACTGTCACGCTAGGACGGATCGCAGCAAAGCGGGTTTTTTCTCCCTTGCTTCTTCCCTTCTCCTCCCCGCCAAATTTTGAATCACAGTGAGCCCTCTAAAAAGAATGAAGACTAACCCCTTTCTCCTTTTTCCTTCTAGAAATAACGCTTCGACAATAATCAGGAGTTCCCGGCCCAGGTCAGATTAAAGAATGTAGGAGAAAAAATTGTTGACAAGAACCTAAAAGGTGGAAACGATGCACAAGCGGTGACGATCCTCTATGTATCTAGCAGTACAAGAGAAGGGGAGTCAAATGCACTCGGCTGGGACAAGCTTGTCGAGTTGGGGAAAGAAGGAAGAGTATTGGATTGTGAGGAAAGAGGGCACTGAACGAGTGGTACCGGCTGAATAGATTACCAGAGGGGGGGGGGGGGACTACACCGTCGATAACCAATTGCGAAGAGAAGAGGGACAGTTGGCTTTGAAGTGAGGTGGTAGTGCCCGAGGAAGTAAGAAGGGAAGAGGACAGAGGCGGTGGTGGTGGAAGGAGGTGGAGGTGAAGGAGGTGGAGGTGGTGGTTCGTGGTTTGGTCGCCGTTGTGGATGCGTATGCAGCAGGGGAAGGGGAAGAGGGAAGGAGGAGGGGTGGGAAGGATGAATTGGGGTGTGATGATGCGTGGAGGCCGAATGACCAGCAGCTGGATGACCGGGGGGGAAGTCAAGCGAATGGGGGAGGAAGAACAAAGGGTTAATCGATAGAAGAAGAGAAGAAGAAGAAGAAGAAGTAGGAGAAGAAAACACAGTCAACACACGCTCACGAAAGAAAAGGGCAGGAGGGACGAAGAGGCAAGGAAACAGATGAATGAGTGAGAAGGTGAGTGAGGGAATGGTGAGGGAACGGGTGGATAGGTGAATGAGTGAGTGAGAGAGTGTGTGTGGGTGTAAGGAGGGAGAGGGAGAGTGGCTCCTGAGAAGCGAGCGGTTGCAATCAATAGTAAGTTAACCTGCAACAACAGCACACGGTGCGAGTAAAGGGGAATGAAGGAACACGAGGCCAAGCACAGCACAGGAGGATGCAAGCGAAGGAGGGAAAGAGCACTGGCACAGTCGAAGGCCAGAGCACCGGTACGCCAGGGAGGAGATTGATGGGGACCCTTTTCGTCGAAAAAAAGGGAGACTCAAACGCCCTCTCTCTCCCACGGTATCCTCGAAAAAAAAAATACCCTTTTTTCGTGTTGTATCAGTTCGCACGTACGGTAGGAGCACTGGTACAGTGCTAGCACTCGTACAGTGCCTGGTGTATGCACGATCAAGCGGGCGAGCAGCTAAGAGAGGGAAGGCAGTCGGCTAGCCGTCGAGGCTACCAGTATTATAAGTTATGCTGGGCACTGCAGGAGCTACTCCACAACAGGCGGAGATTCTCCTGGCCCAATCGCCCAATTCCTCCCTCAACCGACACCAACTGCCTCACGAATTTCACGAACCCAACCCAAGCGAGTGGGCATCATTACCGGTATCTCAAGGACAGGGGGAAGAAGGAAAAAAGAAAAAGTGAAGAAAAAAGAAAAGAAAGCAGGAAAAAGAAAGAAGGTTACGGTAATACCGGTACCATAACCTCATTACAACGGACATTTCGCACAGGAGAAAAAGAAAGGGAGAAAGGGAACACCGGTACGGTGGCTGCTCCACCTCCAAGTACCGTACAGCACGAGCGCAATGCAGTGATACGGTACAAGGTTAGTGTCACGCCGCATTGCAAACTCGTCCCTTCTCGAGAGACGATGAGCTACCGGTAGACACGTTAGAAAAGGGCAGAGGGCAACTCGGAAAACGCAAGATGGTCTGGCGGGGCAGTTTGCCCTATTTATTCCCCCAAACACTATATCCTACGCACCAGGAGTGGGAGAAACGCCAATCAGAGAGGGGGAAGAGAAAGCCTGAGATAATATGATACCTTCACTGTGTTCGAGCGATGCCATGCCCTGATATGCTGAACCGAGAAAAAACGAGGAATATGTTAAGGGACGCGTCATATTTTTCCAAGGCTACAGTAGCGGTATCCGACACCCTTTCCCTTTCCCAATGCCTTGAACCATCGAATTATTGGCCCATGAAGAATGTTGCTGTGCTGCCATGGTATCATGGCATCTTGAAACGTTGGCCTATCTGGCTGCTGGCACCTGATTCCATGATCACTGTAACCCAGCAAACCCGCTTACCGGTACTCGTAGCCAATCCTGGGTCCACTTCTACTGTAGAATCCCCCTTATCGACTAGTTTTGCGTACCGTACTTGTACAGTACGGTACTCGAGTATACAATGAACGGAACAACAACCGGTAGCGGTAAAATCTCTCCCCCCCTCTCTCTATCGGGCAGATAAATTTCCATCTCCTCGTGGCCGCCAAATCTAATAACAGCATCAATTTATCTCAATCCACCGTTACAGTAATACATTAAAAGGGACCTGCTGCCCACTAGCAATGCTACCAAAGCGTAATGTACCGAACACCACAGCTCTGCGCTCTAAGGGGGGTCAGCGTCCTGTCGTGATACCGGGGCGAGCCGGGTGTGAAAAGCGGCCGCACTTGTACTAGTACAGTACTCGAGTACACGGTGCCTGTACCGTGCTAGTGCACTGAGTTACTGAACAGGATTTTGTGATACGGTAGTTCCCTTTATCCATGATATCAACACCATCACCATCATCAACCCTTCGATGATTCCAGAGTGCTACTTCCTTGATGTCTCGGTCGAGCTTCCGGATGAAATTCAGGAGAAATATCGTTGCATTCGGCAAAGTCGGAATTCCTTGTGATGATACTTGTACTAGTACTGCGGCTAAACATTCAAGGCGTTGGGATGTATGATTCAGTACAAGTGCGAGTACCTGTACTGCACTGTGCAGCCACTCGAGTACGAGAACCGTACCGGACAGTACCTCATCGACGAACAGAGGTAGATCAATGCCCCGTGCGCTAACCGCGATTTGTTTCGACAGTAACATGCTCGTATGTTTTGATGGTACGTACTCGCACAGCGATGGTGATGTGCCTTCGGATTCCCCCACTCTCGCCCTACCGTCCCCCTTCCCTATAGTCACTACGATACGGTACCGGTATTCGAGATACCGGTACCGTACCTTCCTTGCTCCCCCGTCGAACATCGCCCCCGCCGGGAAATCTCCCGCACGAGCACTAGTACGGTACCTTTACTCGTACTTGTGCTTGCCTCGGGCCTGAATTGCTGTGCCCGAAAACAGGGGGAGCATATTCCGTATTGGCGTTCAGCTACGCACGGATTTTTTTACCATGCTGTATATTTCTTTGATCCCTGTTTCAAGACTGGCAGCGAAGCGTACCGTACTCGAGCGCTGAGTGCAGGAAGCGCAAGCAAGGCCAGGGAGAAGATAGCGATCCTTCAAAGTGGCCTCCTTCTATCGCGGGATCCCAGCGTACCTGGGTCATAAAAAGCCCAGGTGAAGCTGCGGCGTGATCGTCATCCAAAAGACGAATTTCGTTTGTGGGGCAAGAACTCGGGCACTGGTGTCGTGCCGGTAGGCTTGAGCGAGAGATACGGAGAAGGGTTCAAGGGTCAATATAACGAGCTACGGATCCAGTCTCGTCAAGGTGGCAGCACGAGGCTTTCCCACAAATACAGGTAATAAAATTCAAGTGAGATTGCCCCGCATTTTCCCTCCAGGCTCTCGAACCCATGATTCAGCGGCACTCTCCACCGGCACTCAGATTGTGGGGAAAGGCTGCCCCCAATTCGTATTTTTTTCCCCTCGCTTCGTGACACAGGGAGAAGGGAGAGGCCACACTGGATTTCTCCCAGTGGGGAATCTCAAACGATCCCTGTTCAATTGGACAAGCATAACCCTCGTAAAGGGGAGAGGATGGTTATGTCACGTTGGCTCGAGAAATCATTTTTGAGGCTGGCGGCTCGCAAGTTATTCGATTGCTGTAAGATACTGTAGTCGACCGACCGGCACTCGTACAATACGGTATGCGTGGGTGGACGAGCTGGCTGGTACGGGTTGATTTCGGGAAACCTCCTCCCGGCTCGGGGAGGCCTATGTTCTACGATACGCTCCCATCGCGACCCTTCCCGTCATGAGCCTCCCCTCCGCCTCTACCGGTATTTCTTTCTTACCCCTGCAGCGCGGTTGACACGGTATCCGCACGGTGAGGTGCTGCGATGAAGGCCAGGGGTCCACTTATGCTCCCGGTCAATGATTTAGCAACGCATGATACTATCGTACATGACAGTACCGGTATTTGTGCTAGCACAGTAGCGTACTCGAGTAGATCGGAATGATCGACGCTGCTGTGTCAAGGCTATTGCGACGGACGAGAAATTGGCGAACACAATGGGTTTTGCTTTGGCAGGATGCGACAGTCTCGCATCGGGATTAAGAATTTTTACTCGCCCAAAAAGTCCGATACAGTATCATGGTCTTACTGCACTGCACGATATCTTATAGCACCGGCATCATCTCAGGTAATATGTGCTGCACCGTGCGGTACTCGAGCAGACAATCCTGTCTTCCTATCAGCTGATCCATTTTCCGCCCAGGAATCAGACCAGTCCGCCCATGAGTTTAACTTGGCTCCCAGGTCCCTCATTCAAAAAAGCCCAATGGCTGGGAGAGAAGCACTTTGAAGAGCTGCAGTGAGTACAAGTATATTGGAGCGCAGTCCACAGAGAAAGAGATTACAACCATAAAAAGTCTCGAGGCGGGAGATTCATCAAGAGACTTAATGTGATATATTTCCCTTGATCCTTAATCAACCAAGGAAGAAGGCGAGAATCAATATTATCGGTCTGGCCGACGGCGGGTGCCAGCGGGTGCCTCGCCGCTCGCAAGGGTCCAAGTCGGTGTCGGTGCTGCTGATCCCTGTCCTCCCCCCCACACAATTGGCCAAGACGTTTGAGCCGAGTGCTTTCCCGAGTAAACAGCGCACCACTACTCCCTCCAGGCACTGTACTCGAGTACAAGCACCATCATTTTTATGACACAACCACAGCTATTGAGCACGGTAAACGACAGTGGATTCCGCGATGTTCGTTCGAGGGCATCCGCCCATCATCGGACGAGCGAGGTGGCAGGAAGCAGGAACAATATCCCCCCCCGGGTGGAAACTAACTCCGTACCGCTTATATCTCCCAGAAATTTGCAGATCATCGTTTTCATCTATATGAGAAACAATTTATGCCCGTAGAGAAGAGCCTGAGGTTGAAGCTGAAGGTTCGCACCTGTGCGGTACCGTATTTGTGGAACCTCTCGGGCGCTTCCACCCCAGAGAAAGTTAGAAGTCAAATTGGGTTCAGGGAAACAGCACTCGTACCGTACCGTGGCGGTAAGATTTATAACGTTACTGTACTTGAGTACAAGTATCATGCTCGTAATGTGCGAATACCTCGATAAGAGGTCGTGCGGTTGGGATCACATTGGGCCTAGATACTTATCTTCCCCGCTTCTTCCCTCCCTTCCCTTCCTTCCCTTCCCTTCCACATTCCCCCCACGCATCTTCACTTCAAACGGACGGACTGCATACATATCAACGGGTACTGATGCCGGTGATGGAGCTGCGTTTAAAATATTTGCGCCCGAACCTTCCTTTCAAGCATACTGTCATGAGAGGCGAGGGGAGGGAGATAAGAAAATTTGAAGCCAGGAGACTAGCCGGGTTCTTCGCCGCACGGGATGGTTTGGGACGAAAACCGCACTACCGTACCCGTACTAGAATAATACCTTTGGCCGGTGCTTGGACGGTACGTCAGAGTTCTTGGTTTCATCCTTGCGCTTACAGTAGCACCCCATTTGATCATTCAATTGGATCGTTTAGCTTGCGTTTTGTTAGTTTTGGTGGAACGGCGATAAGATCAACTCCCTGATAAGATCTTACGCACATTCTGTCCTATAAATAGCTCTTAATCGTGGACGACCCTGTGTTACCGATAGGGAAAAGCCACAAACAAAGTCGACATGGATACAGGACAGTACGAATGCGGTACGGGGGCTTGTGTTGAAGACTATGAGCTTCCTACTACAGTCCTGTCCATAGGTTAGCCGCGGACCAAAGACAAGAGACCAAACAGGTGGATATGTTCCCCCCTTTTTTTCGTGGGTAGACATTTTCTCACTTGAATACCGTACAAGGGAGGTGTGCTGGGTCGTTGAAATTCCCCTACCAGGATAGGGGTGGAGAATTCGCCGGAAGCTGAGCCCTCGGTCTGGAGAAAAAAAAAAAATGCACAGCACTTCACTAGGAGAGGCAACTACAACGTGCTGTGTTCGAGTGCGAGTACAGCGCTTGTTCCGGGGACTTTAATGATAGTTAAACTGTTCGATAGGGCTAAACCTCGGGTTCTGGGGGATGGTACTCATCCGGCTTAAAAACCATCACTGCATCTGGCGATGCCCGACCCACTGCCCCCCTACTCCCGGCAATTCAGTTCCCGCACGATGCAGTGTAGGGTAGGCAGATGGCACGTTTTCTTTTCCTTCCTTCTGAACGATGGTGGCTAAACCCCGAGCTTTTTTTTCATTTTTCATTTTTGCTTCTGAAGGAGTTTGGTGGGAAAATCGTTGCCGCTACAACCCGCATGATATAGTGGTATACGCATCGCATCAGTTAGTCTCTCCGGACCTGAAGGCTTGTTACTTTGGCCCGGTTGGTTCAGGCTGGTTTAATGAATCTTGTGATTGCTGGGAAACGGTTAATTACCGTTCTCCCTATTTCGCATGGAACCTCGCTTCCTTCCTTACCTCGATAACGTGGTAGGTTATATATATATGTATTTCGCAGTAAAATAACATCAAGCTTCCACATGATGCTACTAGCGGGTATGTAGTGGGCTAAGTCTATCGTTCTTGTCGTTTGCCTTGTGTGTAACTTGCCGGGACTAAGCTAACCTAGGCCTTATTATAGAAACTTCCCCCTTCTAGATGACCAACTCTACCCCCCTAGCCACCAGGCCTATCCCGACTTTTACGACCCGCACAGTGTAATCGCGGATCAGCGGCCCCTTCTTTCTCTCCGGGGCACCGGCAGCTCAATTGAAATCAAAACGTCAAGAGCCCGGGGCGGATGAAGGGGGAATAGAGCGTACCACCGCAAATCTCGCGGATCAAGAATATATGCGTCTGCTCGTTGTGTCATTATCATCTTCCGGACTTTCTTCCAGCCGGTTTAACACACAGGCGCCCCCCCTCCCACTTACCACACTATCGTGCAACGCACGGTTGTCCACGTTCTATAAATACCCTGGGCAGGGGTTTTCGGGGCTTCTCTTAGTGATAATCCTTCATCCGGGCCAGTACACACGGATAGCGTGAGGAGGAAAGAAAAAGGGTATTTATATCAGTTGCCGCTGATTTCTGCATTGGACAGTTTCCCTTCAACATTAGTCGAACGCCGTCGTTTTCCCCTTCAATATCCCTTCTGCCATGGGTTCTTCCAATGAGGAGTACAGGTGACGCAGATCTCGTCAGACGTTTGGCTAGATGCGTGTACGATAGACTATAGTTTCACATGCATACATTTCAGGCGTTCGGGCTGAGCGATTTGCGGGACGGTAGTGTAGAGGGATGCCGGTGCGGCGTTGTTGGGACTTATTTTTTGTTTGCCTAGGCCTACACCTCCCGTATCATAGGCTGTCACTCGGATGCATGGCCGGACGCGGGTGATGATGGAAAAATGTGCCGGGAGTTAGAGGTTGAGAAGGGACTGAAAGGGGAGTGCGTGAATGAGGGAATCCGGGAACTAGAACTACGGATGCTCTCCCTTCTTGCTCTATCAGAATAGCGATTGGTGGCGACTGATCCGGGGCCGCCGGGTCGTGTTACTTTGCTGGTCGAGCGTGTTTCGTGGGAGTGGGGGATATTGGGGTCTGCGCCTCCCACGGCAAGTTTTTCGCTTGACCACCTCGGGCCTCGAAGATTTTCACACAAGGTTCTTGCGTGGAATGTCGAGGCAAGACTTTCTCCCTTGATAGGTCTGGTTTCTCTCAAACCACCGACCGAGAAACATACTCTATCACTCGAAGTAGTAATTGCCGACGCCTTGGAATTAAGAAAAGTCTTCCTGGCGAGGTGGAAAAGTTATAGCCAGATCTAGGCTGGCGTCCCTCTCACTATTGCAGGGATTTTATGAGCAGATGCACTAAACCGATTTTATACCTCGTTCCGTTGTTTCACATTCGAGTGAACTTGGGTGGCTCAAGATTTAATAGTAGCTAGAGCGGGTTACCAACTGCGGGGGAAAACATGAAGCTGATTCACATCTCTGAAATATATAGGCCTGGGGTGAACTTCGGGGGTTAATTCAGATGGATACTGACACTCGGGGCTCGCCGGATCCCACCCTCACTCATCCCATCGCATCGCCTTCATCTCTAAGGCGATAGAACACTACCACTTCTCCTCGGGGTTCCTCTTAAACTCCAAATAATCCTCCAGCCTGAAGAACGAAAGCTCCGTTTCATGCTCTACGGCCCCCGCGGTTAGCAATCTAAACCTCTCTAGTCTAACCTCCTGCCGTACAAACAAGCGTAAGTACTTGCACAGTAGAGCGAACTCACTCACCACACTTGTACCCCTCCAGCGTCTTCTCATCATCCCCAAAAATCAACTCATCCCTTTCATCCTCCAGATTGATGATCAAGTTGTTAGTCTTTGTCCCATGCGCCTTGGTATAGAGCTTTAACGTATCTATCTCTCCCTCTCTTCGCATTAGCCCCACCCCCTCCCATCTGCGCCCGTTTTGCGATATAACGGACCGAGAGTCCCAATAATCCCCTTATAAGCTTTCCACCCACCGCCGCCGCCGCTCGCGGAAGATAGGATCTCGCTGCGCACACGCTCTTTCAGGGCGCCGGATGTGAGGGTTGTTAAGTCGAGATTGTGCAGAACGAGGTTTTTCGCTGTGCGGTAAGGGAAGTTTTTGATTACGCGGATGGTGAGCGTTGCAGAGGTTACTGTGGGCAGGGTTTTTTTTTGGAGGTTAGTGTTTGGGGGAAGCGTAGGGCGGGGGGGGGGGACGTACGCGGACGGGTTAGGAGTTCGGAGGACATGATTTGGTTTGGTTAGGTCGGCTGATTGGATGTGGTGGCGGGGGATCGAGAGCTGGATGTACTGTGCTCGAGTACAGCAGGGTACTTTAATTCGGGAGCGGAATAAATTGTGGGGTAATTGCCTAGCGGAGAGGTCAAGAAGGCGGGGTCAATTTTTTTTTCCTGCACGGGTCTGTTACGGTATGGTCTCGTGCGCACCGTTGCAGTCCCGTGCTGTGAGTACTAGTACGGTACGAGTACCATACGGTACCGGTGTGGCATAGGGCAGCCCGATAGGGCATTTTTAGCAGTCGGGAGGAGGGTTGCACACCCACAAATCATTATGTTCTAGCTAGCTTTTTTTGCATGTTTTTCTGTACTTTTTGTTATATACCAGCACGACATCAACAACCACCAATTAGATGAGCGAGCCACACATGATAATTGTGACATAGACCTCGGTCCTCTCGTTCCTCTTTATTGGTCTTGGTTTTTCTGCTTTTCGATATCCCTTAGTGAGAGCAACAGTTAAGTCACGATCGGGTCAGCTCTCCACCGGCTTACAGTCAGTAATAACGACGGATCTTCTTCACGGTAAAGGCGGGATACGGCACGCGCAACACACCATCCAATAACGGATCCCCGAGAGAGGGAGGACCGACAAACTGGTGCTCTGAAACGGATTGGTGTTGAGAAGCTTGACGGCTTGCCCCCCCCCTATCTTTACCGCAAGTTTGCTATTAGCTGGTTAATCGGTGCCCATCTGATATCAAGATTGCGGACCAAGTTGAGACAACGCCTGTTACGGTCACCTCCGAGCTCCTAGAACGCCTGAGACAAACATTGCCGGAGGCAGACGAGCCTGACGACATAGACACTTTATACTTCACTCGAGGAGGAGAGTGGTATTCAATCCCGACTGAAGAACTGCAAGTAGAGTTGGAGCTTGAAGGCAGGCGAGGCAGCAAGTCCGGACATCGAACACCTCTAGATCAGTCCATGTCACGGGTGACAAACCGAGCAAGTAAAGTCATGAGCCTGCCATATGAGATGGGGATGAAGTTCACCGGCGAAGGCGGCACCAAGGTGAAAGATTTCTTGAGATGGATGGAGTCGTGGTTCGCAACGATGGGCGATGAGTTTGATGGTAGCACTGCTAAGTCAAAGACGATGAGAGTGGCTTAGCTCCATGTTGCCTGCCCAATTCGCTCGGCTGCTGGCCGGTTTATTAGCACTTTGGATAAGGGTATTTTCTGGGAGGAAGAGCTGTTGAAAGAGGCTCTGATTGACCAATTCCATGATGCTGACCGGGAGTATCAAGCGGACGAAGATATCTTGACGACGATGAGCACACTACGTCAAGGGAGTCAGGACGTTTTCAAATACTCGCGCAAAGTACTTAAGCTCCTCCAACGAAAGCCAAGCAGCCTCCGACATTACGACAGAATTCTCATTAGTTACTACCTCGACGGACTGACAAGCCGACGTCTACGGGAGCTAGCCATCTTAAGTTTTCGCAAACGAGACTCCCTGGAGACTCTATTCCAAGTCGTCAACGGTGTCATGCGGCTGGCCTCTCAACTGAAGATCAAGGGTTACCGCAAGTCTGAGAACCGATACAGTGATGATGATGATGATGATGACAATGATGATGACTCTGAGGACGCTCAGACATCCGGGAGTGATTCGGACTCCAATACCGACTCTGATAGCTACGAGAGATATAGCCGCCGGAAGCAAAGGATAAAGAGACACGAACTAAAGAAGGAGTCTGGTAAGAGGAGGGACAAGAAGGTGAAGGAAAAGGAGAAGAAGAACCGTAAGGGTCAAAGCGATGAGGCAAAGGTCAGAGGAGAAGTGCATGAGTTGCGTGAAATGATGCGGGATTTGCTGCGAATGCAGAAGGCAACTAGTGCCCCCGGCAAGGGAGCTGTGGCTGATCATACTGAGGAAGATGTCATTCCATTAGATGTTTATGCAGTCGGAGGAGAATATGGCAGGCCAGGTTACGAACGTCAAACTGTGTCCTACCCTACATCACATCATACCCAATACCCGAATTGACGCAGTCAAGTACACCCACCGGCAACCTATCACCCGAGACCACCGGCACCTTATCCGATGTCCTACAGGAGCAATTATCCGGAAAGGGAAAGCATGGCTCCCCCTACGCGCTCATACTTTGACGATTTTTCCCGAAGGCCTCCAGACGTGACACGTTTTACACCAGCCGATCTCCCGCCTCGCAATCGCTATCCTGGCCCGCGTCTGTCCGAAAATCCAGTCAATTCACAACCTATTGTCGGCCCCAATGGAGTACTTTATTACCTGTCCCGTCCACGCATCTGCTATCACTGTCAGGAAGAAGGTCATCTACGACCACAATGCCCACAACTTCAGTCTGCTTTACCTAGGACAGATATTCTTGGACCAGACCACCCAGACACCCTAGTCAAGGCCCATGGGAAGCCTCTAGTGCAGCCACAAAATAAGCCCGTCAGTGTCGTCGAGATCGTTTCAAGGTCGTCTGCACTTAATGGTATGAAGGTTCGAGAAGTGACTACGGCAGCGGTAGAAGACAAGGCAGATTTGAGGGCATTCGTTCGCCGGATCGAAGAGATTGATGATGGTGATGATCTTGCCAGCAGGACGGATAGTAGTGAATCTGAGGATGTCGAGCTTGCTGATAAGAGAGGAGTCCCAGTCATGGCAGGAGAAAGAGCTCGTCGGTTCAGTGAGCTCCCGCCTGAGTTTGAAGGAGAGGCAGGACCCGCAACACAACGACGTCGAACGCAGGAAGAAGATGAGGAAGTTGTTGAGATTACTTCCAGCAGGCAGCAGGCTAAGCCACGAGCAGCGAAGGTGTCACGCAAGCCAATTCGTATGATGGCAGGCCGCGAGAAGTTTGATTTCGTCGGTGCCTTTAGAGATGCTCCTGTCACAGGCCTCAATTGGGGTTCTTTTTTTGACTTGGCACCAGCAGTGAAAAGGGATATTTGCCATCTTCTGGTTCAGGAGCGAGCGAAGATCCTGGGAAAAGGCAAAGGAAAAAGCAAAGGACGCGGCAAGAAAGTGACGTTTGATGTGGGCGTCGGCAGTGCTGCTGAAGATGAGGAAGTCTTGACAGTAGCGACGGATCGGGACTTAGGAGATGTCATTAACTTTTATACTAAAGGGACGCTCCATGCCGATGGTGGCAGCTATCGTGTTTCGAGAATTCTGGTTGACGCGGGTTCTGTTGTGAATTTGATGCCGATTCACCTTTTACGTTTCATGGGAGCAAGACTTCGCAAATCAGGAGGGATGGTGATCCGGACGGCAACGAATGCACTAGCGAAGATAGCCTACTGTGCCGATGTACGGATTACAATTGCGGACGTTTCATGCGGTCTACGGGTTTATGCTCTTCCGGACGAATACAAACCGACGTACCCCCTCCTTCTCAGCAGACGATGGCTGCAGGCTGTAAAGGCAAAAGGCGACTATGCAAGCGGTCACTACTATATCACACATCATCACGGGACTCAAGTCAGAATTCCAAGAGACTGAAGTACCCAGCAAGAGCATCAGCTACGTCGTCCTCGTATTCCGGTTGTCATGAGAAACAGGGAAGAAGAAAGGAAAGAGGTATCAGCAGAGATTGAAGAGGAGCTGGAGTGGCAACGATCAGGTGGCAGTCATTTTTTTGAGGATTTGGTAGAATTAATAAAGAAGCAGGCGAAGGAGCAGATTAAGCATGAAGAGGAAGAGGAAGAAGAAGAGTTGTCTGATAAGTCGGAAAACTAGTGTCGCCAGATGATATGTCAAGTCGGTTGTCTGGTGGGAAAGATGCGATGGAAGAAGTGAGCAGGCTAAGTGTGTCGGATCTTAATGACTTGAATGTGAATAGTAGAGAGAAAACATGTAAGGAAAGTGATGTTGGTTTTGATGATGGGAATGTTATGAAGGATACAGTGGACAAGGAACGTGATGTTGATACTCAGGAGTCATGTGTTTTAGATGATAGTACTGAGAGATGTGACGTTGAATTGTTTGGTGATGAAGAGGTTTACTGTTGCGGTGAAGTGGGCTGTTGGAGAGACAGTGGAGGGGATTCACAGATGGTGAATGCTCGGGAGTTAATAAGAGGAGGAACTACAAAGGAGCAGGATAATGGGACAGCAGAGAATTATGGAAAGAGACGGATAGGGGAAGAGGTGGAGCCGCCAGGTGTTCCAGAGGAATACGATCGGGGGCAGATCGAAGGGGGGATGGATGTTGTCTTTCCACAAGAAGAGACAGCAGAGGAGCGGGCCTTTGGCCATATATTGGGCTTTCCTACACTACGTCGTCCTGTCCATTTTCATCGAGAGTTAGAAGAGTCAGCAACCGGGATTCCCACGTGGTTTAAGGAGTCAGAAATTAAGCTTGGAGATAGCTTGACCCTGGCGGAAAGAGAGCAGGCGGCATGTCTATTGTACACTTGGAAGGACATGTTTGTGCATCAATTAAAGGATATGCCAGTGACCGACCTGGTTGAGCATCGAATTCCTGTATACCCAGATGCCCGGCCCCGACGAGCGAGAGATAAAATTTATACAAGAGAAGAGCGAGATTGGCTTGATGCGCATATTCCGGAGATGGAGAAGGCTGGCATTATTGGGAGATCAGAGTCACCTTGGTCTCATAGGACGAAGTTTGTGAGGAAGAAAGATGGTGCACTGCGGATAGTACATGTCTTTTGTCCCATCAATGGTGCGACGATGTTGTCTGGCTATCCGATGAAGCGGATCGAGCCTGTTGTAAACAACTTGATGCAGTCCCAGTTTTCAAGTTACTTTCAAGCGGACGCAGCAAACGGCTACTGGGCAGTAGCTATGTATCAACCGCATGCTTATCGGACTGCTTCTTCCACGCATAACGGCCAATGGCAGTACCTACGAATGGGGCAAGGGCTTGCAGGTGCACCCCAAACCTATGCACGCTTAAAAGATCTGGTCAGTGGGGAGATTCCAGAGCCGCACTCAGAGCCATGCCTAGATGCATGTACCAAGGGTGCATTCGAGTACTTTGTTGATGACGATTTCGGCGCCTTTCCCGACTTCACATCGCAGTTCGAATTTTTACACCATCACTACTTTCCTCGGCTAGCATGGGCCAAGCTGACACTTCAGGGTCGAAAATGCGGCTTTTTCCTCGATAAAATAAATCCTCTCGGGTATTCGA